GAGACCTGGGATTCAGTGAGAATTCACTTCACTTCTTGGTCCGCAAATAGCCTGCCAAAAGGAGCCTATGCCTCCGTACCCTGCTCTCGAGCCCAGTGACTGCTGACAGACTGCGTGGCGCCGACAAATCAGAAAACGATACGCTAACTAAAGGGACTTGGGGGCGGAGAAAAGGGAAATATAAGGCCTGCCCCCTCCTGCATTAAACGAGCCTGCAGCACCTCGCCTAGTGCTTGCTTCTACCGGACTCCCAGTGTCTGTGTGTCGTGACTCTGCACCTCTTGCGCCCCCTAATTGGCAGGGGACCCGATCCAGGTCAGGGTCTTCACAGCTGGCCTGAGGAGAACCCGCAACACCTGGTTCCTGAACAGGGACTCCTGCCCATCTTATTCACGCTTCCAAGTGAAGCCAGACATGGTCAAGAAGAACCTTTGACTTATCTTCACATAGATGGAACTGGTAAAAGAAAGGAGCCAGGACCTCCTCTCAAGCCCATGTGACCCCTGAGGAACAGATCCTCAAATGGCCTTAAGTGTAAAAATAAATTGATTTTTGGGGGCCAACTGTATGGTCTCAAACACCCAAAACGAAAATATAATCAAAGAGTAAAGTCATCAGTATATTTCTTTAAGAGTTCAAGAGATTACACTTCCCAGACATGAGGCTTAAGCCTATATAAAAATTATTTACACAATTATTTCTCATTGATGATTTTGTTCCTAACCAGAAATGCTACTTAGCTGTAAGACTTCAATTCTTTCTCTACAATACTGGAGGTCCTTTTAATAAGATGATGCTATACAGCAGTCCCTTCTGCATGAAATAACTACCATTATCACAACTTTGGCTGAGCCTGATCGCTAAACATAGTCACAACTGGGCTTGTTGACGGTTGTGCTCATTCATTAAAGGAGACCAAAGCAGGGTCACTGGACCTTCACCTGAGTATCCAGCTACTCTTCCCAGCCAACTAGTCTCTCCTTGGCAGAGGAAGAACCTGATACAGGGATGCTTTTGGAAACCCTTGTCAAGAAACTCCAATGGACTCTCATATGAACATTTGAAAATTGCCCTGCTCTGACTTTTTTCTAGTTCCCCGTCTAGAACTTGTAATGCTAATTCCTCTTGCCTTTACTTCTCCTTCACATCTCCTATTCACGTTTCTTTTCCTTCCTCCACGACTTTCTTTTCCTCCTCGAGATAAGAGTTATGCAATTTGGGAGTCTTTTAGATAGACCCACCAAAGGGGTACTCCAATTGCCTCACCCTGCATCCCTGTTGAGCATGGAAGAAGCCAGAGCTGTATGTGTCCCTATTCCCTATTGGCAATTTGAGTAACCTCTTCAGAGGATGGTGTGATAAGAATAGGAGGTAAGAATTCACTAGACAGTTAGGGTGAAAAGACCCCAAAGAAAAGTAGACAGTTTCTTGGCCAAAACTCACAATGTCCTTGGGCCTCTTAGCAACCTACTCCATTCCAAAGGCCAAAAATGTCAAAAATATTTGGGAGCGTTTATCTAATCCTTAAAAGATTTCAGGGTTACCTCTTCAGAAGGGGGAATGTTAGAGTAGCCAACAGCCCCATTTAAAAAAATAAATAACAGAGAAGAAGAAAGAGTACATGAAGTTATCAGAAAAAGTGATGGGAGATATAGGAGGAGTTGGAGGGGAGGGAGTGGGCATGGATTTGATCAGAACACCTTATATGCATGTATGAAATTCTCAATAAATTGTTTTTTTAAAAAAAAGGAGAAGAAAAATGCCCTCCTCTGCCCCAGCCCCAATCTCAGGATAGGGAGCCACCCCAGAACCAGTGACCTGGGGGAAGATGGGCCCTATGCCTTGGACACTAAGGAATAAATCAAGCCTTTTTTGTTTTCTGAGACAGGGTCATATAGTTCAGGCTGAATTTAAACTCCCAAAGGTGACCTTGAACTTATGATCCTCTTATGCTCACCTCCCAAGTGCTTATAGATTACAGTCCTCTACCACTATGTCTAGTTTACATGGCGCTGGGGATTGAACCCTAGGTTTCCTGCATGCTAGGCAAGCCATCTACTAACTGAGCTACATCCCCAGCCTTGTCAAGCCTGCTTTTGAAAATCTCATTGATCCAGAAGTTTCCAAAGCTTCCTAAATCCTGCTTTCATCACTACAGAGCTGCTCTAAGGCAGTGAGCAGACAAAGACCTTCACAGTCTTAAAATTATTTTACTTATTAGTTTTATTTTATGTGTATGAGTGTATTGCCTGCAAGTATGTAAGTGCACCTGTGTGGTACAATGCCTGTGGAGGCCAGAAGAGGGTGTCAGAGCCCCTAGAACTGAAGTTATGGATTGTTGTTAAGCTCTCATGGGGGTACTGGGAACTGAACCTGGGTCCTCTGCAAGAACAGCCAGTGCTCTAAACCCCTGAGCTGTCTCTGCAGTTCCCCTTCACAGTCTTATAATGGTTGGAAAGAGGTGAAAACATGCAGATGACTAGCATGGAACTCAACATCTTCCTCTTCCACTTCCAGTCCATTTCCATATCAAATCAACTTGCTGCTGATTGCTTAAAATAGCACTGATAGATAACACAACGGGCAGTCACAGGGATGACAGAGTATATGGGCTCCAGTGGCAGGGGGTTGGAGGGGAGGCTATGGGAAGGTGCCAGTGGAGATGGAGGTATAAAGATGATTGTTTGAGATGTTCTGTATGAAATACACACACACACACACACACACACAAATCAAAAAAAAAATTGTTCCAAGTCTTTGTGATGAGTAAAAAAGTGGCCCTCAAAGATATCCACACACTGATCCCTAGCACCTATGCATACATTACCTTCTGTGGTAAAAAGGGACTCTGCATATGCAGCTCACATACTAACCTCCAGCTGGGGATATTGAAACAGGGAGAAAGAGCGTCCTCTAGAGGGTTCTTAGTCTCATTCATAAAAGAATTTAAGAATGGGGCGGAAGAGATGGCTCAGCAGTTAAAAGCACTGGAGTAAGGAGAGTAGGAGAAGTCAAAGACAACAGAGACCCAAGCTAGGGCAGTGGCAGGCAGGGTGGGGGTGGAGAGAAGGAAATCCAGACTTAGCCATCCACAACTGCTTACCCAGGGAGACCCAGGGAGACCCAGGGAGAGAGAAGCCAGGGAGGAAGGGAGCCTGCAGGAGAAGCAACCAGGGCCAGAGGGCAGGAGGCATTGGGGATGATGTTTCCATATTTCCTTTTCCATTGTGTGTTTGTGTGTGCGTGCGTGTGTGTGACAGGAGCACAGAGAGGGGTGGGAGGCAGAGACTAAATATTTTATTTATTTATTTATTTATTTATTTATTTATTTATTTATTTATTATTTGTCCTTTTTTTTGAGACAGGGTCTTCCTGTAGCCCCAGCTGACCTGGAATCCACTATGTAGACCAGGCTGCCCTGCCTCCTGAGTGCTGGGATTAAAGGCGTGCACCACCACGCCCAGCTTTATTATTTTTATTTTATGTATATGAGTGTATTGCCTGCATGTATATAAGTGCACCTGTATTGTGCAATGCCCTCGGAGGTCAGAAGAGGGCGTCGGATCCCCTGGAACAAGAGTTTCAGACCATTGTTAGTTACCATGTGGGTGCTGGGACTCAAACCTGAGCCCTCTGCAAGAGCAGTCAGTGGTCTTATCCACTGAGTCCTTTCTCCAGTCCAAGACTGAGATTTTAAATGAGAGACAGAGAGACAGAGAGAGAGAGAGAGACAAGAGAGACAGAGAGACAGAGGTAGGAGACTGAGACTTTAAATTCCTTCTCTGTCTTTCTGTCTCAGCGTACGTGTGTAAGAGAAACAGAGAGAGAGAGAGAGAGAGAGAGAGAGAGAGAGAGAGGTAGGAGGCTGACTTTAAATTCCCTCTCTGTCTCTGTCTGTCTCTCTGTGTGTGTGCGTGTGTGTGTGTGTGTGTGTGAGAGAGAGAGAGAGAGAGAGAGAGAGAGAAACAGAGAGACAGAGACTTTAATTTCCCTCTGTGCTTCTGTGTGTGTTTGTGTTTGTGTTGTGTCTGTATGCCCACTTGGGTGTAACAGTGAGTATGAGTTTTTTGTGTGATTGTTTGGGGACAGGTGTTATCTTTGAAAGGGCTGCAGAGCCTCCTGTAAGGTCACAAAATAGCATAAGGGGTCCAGAAGCACAGGGTGTTTCTGACAAAACTGTAACCTTGTTTCTTCGTTTAATTTTTCTTCCTTTTAAGCAACTCATGGGATCCCTGACAAGAAAGATCTAGGATGGCAAATTTCAGGTTGCTTTTAGGGAGTCGAGCTGTTAAATGAAGCTCTTTGGACGGGAGAAAGAAGAGATTCGTGTGTTAAGACAGGAGAGCATTGGCGGTCTCCGGGAAGCTGGTGGTTGGAAACAGGACATCCACCAACACACTCTCCGGCTCAGGCACAATGTGGTTGTGGACACACCCCTGTTTGTGCAGAGCCCACTTCCGTCCCCAATCCTGCCTGTCCTTGCCTGTGCTGCCTCGGGCTGGGCTGGGCCAGTCCCAGCAGGCCCCATCCCGCTTCTCTACGGTTCCCCTCACCACGCGGACGGCAGCCCTTGTGCCAACTCTTGCAGAAGTCCCCCTCCACATTTGGGCGCTGTGCCTGCCTCCTCTGGGCCCTGCACCCTCGGCTGCTGCAGAGGCACAGCCTCGGGTCCCTGCGCCCACACCGGCTCCCAGGTCCTCAGCAGCATCTGCGGGTGGCTCTTTTCCTCCACGTTCCCCCGGATCGTGGCTTTGGATTGGGGTAGGGGTGTCAAAGAAGAAGGACTCTGGGGACTCCACCCCAAGCTCGGTGGGGTTCTTGGTACTTTCTGGGGTCCACATGATCAGCCAGTCTCTCCGGTCCCCTCCCCCGACCCTGGTCCTGCACACTGAGGTCCAGGCAGCGGGTGTCCGTAGCAGGAGGCGCGAGCAGCTCACAGCCGCATCCCACCACGCTGCTGAGCCCAGCTCTCCCTCCCTCCCTCCCTCCTGCTCGATGATTCAGCATCCGGGGGCGGGGCGTGACGCCCCCTATAAGGCTGGCGGCCATTGTGCTTGTGCTGGGTTCCCGGGATCCGCTACGGTCTACGCAGCAGTGAGTCCGCGCCCCGCGTCTACGCAGCAACCAGTGAGTCCGCCTTACCCGGCCTCCGCGGGCTCCCGGCATGCGGCTGGCACCGGCCTGGACTCTCCGGGGACTCAGTTCCCAGCACCCAGAACTGCGGGGACTTCCTGGAGGCCCAGAACAAAGAGGGGCCCTAGGGAATGGGGCAGGCGGGTGCATTCTGTGATCTGGTCAGTCCCCGGTCTCCCACGATCTAACATCCTTCTCCTGTCCCCTCTAGTGCCGCCGTACACCATCGTCTACTTCCCAGTTCAAGGTAGGAGCCTGGACGGCAGGGAAGGGAGGGAGGAGGCCGGGCCTGGAGCCCTTGGCCCTCAGCAGCCCCGGGGAAACCTCAATCCATCTTGGACCCTCCTGGCTGCAAGGCTGTACCTCCCTTGCCGTGCCCCCTCCCCAGGGTCCTCTGAGGCTTCTCCTTCCCCACATCCTGTTCCCTCCATCCAGGGCGATGTGAAGCCATGCGCATGCTGCTGGCTGACCAGGGCCAGAGCTGGAAGGAGGAAGTGGTGTCCACGGATACCTGGTTACAAAGCCAGCTCAAGTCCACCTGTGTGAGTCACACCCCTGCGTGGTGGCAGCGGCTGGCCTTGGGGCCTCTAACTCAGCACCTCCTTACCAAGCTTTAACCCTACCCACAGCTGTATGGGCAGCTCCCCAAGTTCCAGGATGGAGACCTGACCCTGTACCAGTCCAATGCCATCCTGAGACACCTGGGACGTTCCTTAGGTGAGTCCTGAACCCCAGGTGCCCTGGGAGGTGGGTGTGGTGGTGGAGTTGGGGGGTGTAGAGGAGGGGAGCATCAGCTATTGCTTCAGAATATCTGCCTTCCCAGCCGTCCAGTTACCAGTCAAGTTTGGATGGAGCAAAGTAGGGACACAGACGTTGTAGTTCTTCTTAAAACATTTTAATTTTATGTGCATGAGCATATTGCCTGCATGTGCTGTAAGTGCACCTGTGTCGTGCAATGCCGGAGGAGGTCAGAAGAGGGCGTAGGATCCCCTGGAACTGGAGTTATGGATGGTTGTTAGTTGCCGGGTGGATGCTGGGAATCGAACCTGGGTCCTCTGTATAGAGCAGCCTGTGCTCTTAACTGCTGAGCCATCTCTCCAGCCCCGCCCCCCAGCATGTATTTCTTGGCCAAGGTACAGCTGTGTTCCGCCTGACTGTGGTCTGTCTGGCATCATTCTCCTGTGCCAGGCTGCCTCTCACAAGCTCTAGGCTCACATGCCTACCCACATCCAGCACCTACCAGACTGGACGCTCCAGTCAGCCACATGCCTTTGAGATCAGCCTGTGGTTCGCGCGTTGGTCAGGTGCTAACCATGCATCTCTCCTGACCCACAGGGCTTTATGGGAAAGATCAGCGGGAGGCCGCCCTAGTGGACGTGGTGAATGACGGGGTGGAGGATCTCCGCTGCAAATATATCACCCTCATCTACACCAAATATGTGAGCCTGGGTCCCTTGGTCAGGGAGGCTGGGTGAGCGAGGGAGCCTTGTGCACTTTCAATCTCCAACCCTTCTTTCCCTGTTTCAGAGTCAGAGCCCAGTGCTGGGGCAGTTAGACAGTTTAGGGAAGGGAAGGAGCTGCTGGCTGAAGGTGGGCCAAGTATGTAGATTGGGAACACATCCGGGGCTATTAAGCAGAGGCACAGAGTGTGTGCCATGGGCATGGGGCTGGAGCATGAGGCATGAGCTGAGGGTAGCGGGCCATGTCCTGAAGCCCTTGAACCTACTGGTTTGAACTCTGCAGAGCAATGGGCAGATGAGGAGTCTGTGTAGGGCTGGGTCTGAATGTGAGGTACAGAAGGTTCCTTAGAGTTGCTAGCTCTGAGATTTTAAAGATAGCTCTTAGGGGGCTGGAGAGATAGCTCAGCGGTTAAGAGCAGAGGACCCAGGTTCGATTCCCAGCATCCACATGGCTACAAACTGTCTTTAACTCCAGTTCCAGGGGAATCCAAAGCCCTCTTCTGTCCTCTGGCATTGCATGACACAGGTGCACTCACATACATGCAGGCAATACACTCATACGCATAAAATAAAAATAATAAAAATATTTTTTAAAAAAGATAGCTCTTCCACATGGCTGCAATCCTAGCAGTGAGAAGGCTGAGGCAAGAGGGCTGCTGGACTGTAGCTCAAGACCAGTCTGAGCTACATACTGAGTTGTCCAGGCTAGCCTAGCCCCCACCCCCATTCACACAGAGAGAGAGAGAGAGAGAGAGAGAGAGAGAGAGAGAGAGAGAGAGAGCAATAGACAAGACCACAGCTTCCTCATTAACTTGATTGATTTCAGGTGAGATGGAATGGTGGAATGAAGTGGGAAAGAATTCACAGCTGACATGGCTAAGCCTGGCAGTGGGGAACAAGCAGAGGGGCAGCCAGGCCCTATCCCCAGGCAGCCCAGGAGGGGCGTGTCTTGGGGGTGGGTGGATGTTTCTCATGGTGCACAGGGTTGCCCATGCCCACTGCTCCATGGGGGTGAGAGGGTGACAGGTGAGATGGAATGGTGGAATGAAGTGGGAAAGAATTCACAGCTGACATGGCTAAGCCTGGCAGTGGGGAACAAGCAGAGGGGCAGCCAGGCCCTATCCCCAGGCAGCCCAGGAGGGGCGTGTCTTGGGGGTGGGTGGATGTTTCTCATGGTGCACAGGGTTGCCCATGCCCACTGCTCCATGGGGGTGAGAGGGTGATAACACACCTTTGGGCATCCTCCTGGCAGGATGCCGGTAAGGATGACTACGTGAAGGCTCTGCCCGGGCACCTGAAGCCTTTTGAAACCCTGCTGTCCCAGAACCAGGGAGGCAAGTCCTTCATCGTGGGTGACCAGGTGAGTACCTGGCCCTGTCCTGCCCTTCCCATGGCACCTTCTTATAGATAGAAGTAGGAATCATTTGTAAAATGGAGCAGAACTATGGGGTGGGGGTGGGGAGCCCAGGCTATCTGCTTCCCAGCTCCAGTCCCAGACCCAGGTGGCTCGCACCTGCTGATAGCCACGCCCCTTCTGCAGATCTCCTTCGCTGACTACAACTTGCTAGACCTGCTGCGGATCCACCGGATCCTGGCCCCCGGCTGCCTGGACGCCTTCCCTCTGCTCTCTGCCTATGTGGAACGTCTCAGTGCTCGTCCCAAGATCAAGGCCTTCCTGGCCTCTCCTGACCACGTGAACCGTCCCGTCAATGGCAACGGCAAACAGTGAGAGCTGTGGGTTCCTCCGGGGCTGCCTGCCCCCCTTTCCCCAGGACTAATAAAGTTTGCAAGACAGAAGTGATGCTTTGAGTGGTGTGTTTCCTGGGGACCCTCACCTGTCAGGGCCGGGGAAGAGAACAGAACGGAGAATCAGGAAACTTGACCCTAAAGCAGGGTCAGAGCAGAGCGCCTTCGTGGCGTTTACTGAATTTTCGAAACAGGAAGAGAAAAAAGAAACGAGAAGTAATCTGGTATCTAGTGAGGAGGGAGGGACACAGCAAAGCACCTAGCTCAGACTAGCACAGGTAGAGGTGTTATGGACGGACATTCCCTGTCCTGGGCAACAGGCAGAGGAGCTCTGTCTGACTCCAGGTTGGGCTGGAGGGTTACTAGCTATCTAGAGGAGGCTCTGCTGGTTGGCTGGTGACGTGTGAGTTTTGTTATATCCTATGCATATAACCCACGTTATGCTTCCCAGAACCAATAAGGTACTGTATAGAAGTCCAAGTCTTATTTTTAACCTTATCTGATCTTTTATTGGTTTTGTTTTGACTAAGCTTGAGAGTGATATGGAGACAGATCAAAGCCAAGTGTGGTAGCTCACTCTTGTAATCCTGAATCTAAGAAAATTACTTTTGAGTTCAAGGCCAGCCTGGACTACAGTGAGATCCTGACTCAGAATTTGGGGAGCCAGGGAGGCTGGAGACATGGCTCAGTAGTTAAGAGAGCTTGCTGCTCTTGTAGAAGATCCTTGCTCTGATCCACCCACCCACATGGTGGCTCATAACCACCTGTAACTCCACCAGGGAACCTGGGGCCCTGTTCTGGCCTCCTCTGGCACACCTATGCATGTACAACACACACACACACACACACACACACACACACACACACACACCCAAAAAAGTTTAAAAAATCAACATGGCAAAGCAAATTTATTTAATGCAAGTTTTATACCACATGTGCCCTTTCTAAGGAGACAGAGACTCAAATTCAGTAAAGGCTGAGCATTGATGCACTGAGGGGTTGGCCTGGGCTGTTTAACCTTGAGAAGTATCCAGGAAGGGGAGAGCTGATTTTGTTTGTTTGTGTGTATGGTGTGTGTGCTGTGTATTCACGTGTGGAGGCCGAGGTTGCTATCAAGTGTCTCCTATCACTCTTTACCTTATTTTTTATAACTTTGAATTTATTAATATTTTATTTATTATCTTTATTTTATGTGTACGAGTGTATTGCCGGCATGTATGTGAGTGTGCCCGTGTCATGCTGTGGAGGTCAGAAGAGGGTTTTGGATTCCCCTGGAACTGGACTTAAGGATGATTCGAAGCTGCCATGTGGGTGCTGGAATCGAACCCGGATCCACTGCAAGAGCAGTCAGTGCTCCTAACCGCTGAGCCATCTCTCCAGCCCTGAATTTATTTATTTTTATTTTATGTGTATGAGTGTACTGCCTGCAGTGTAAGTCCACCTGTGTCATGCAATGCCCAGGGAGGGTAGAAGAGGAGGGTTCCCCTGGAATTGGAGTAACAGTCATTGTTAGCTGCCATGTGGGTCCTGGTAATCGAATCCAGGTCCTCCGCAAGAGCAGCCAGTGCTCTTAACCACTGAGCCATCTTTCCAGTGGCCTTCTGTGTTTTATCACAGCAATAGAGAAGCAAACTAGGATGCATGCTCACACAAAATAAATAAACGATAAAAATAATCAAACAGGGCTGGGGAGGTGGCTCAGTTGGTAAAGTGCTTGCTGCACACGCATGAGGTCCAAGTTCTAATCTCCAGCACCCACATTAAAAAAAAACTGAGTATAGTGGTATGTACTTATAATCCCAGGGGCAGAGACTGATGGAGTTTGGGGACTTGCTAGCCAACCTGTGTAGCCGCACACTGCTCTTAACCACTGAGCCATCTTTCCAGTGGCCTTCTGTGTTTTATCACAGCAATAGAGAAGCAAACTAGGATGCATGCTCACACAAAATAAATAAACGATAAAAATAATCAAACAGGGCTGGGGAGGTGGCTCAGTTGGTAAAGTGCTTGCTGCACACGCATGAGGTCCAAGTTCTAATCTCCAGCACCCACATTAAAAAAAAACTGAGTATAGTGGTATGTACTTATAATCCCAGGGGCAGAGACTGATGGAGTTTGGGGACTTGCTAGCCAACCTGTGTAGCTGGAAAGGCAGGCTCCAGGTCCTGTGAGAGCCCTGTCTCAAAAAATAAGGCGGAGATAGGGCTGGAGAGACGCTCAGCCCTCTTCTGACCTCCAAGGGCTTTGCACACCCTGGGTGTTGTTATGTACATGAAGGTAAAACACTCAAACAAAATAATAATTTTTTTTTACTCTAGAAAATAAAAGAAAAAAAAAATACTAAAACCAACTTGGGGAGGAAAGAAACTATGGAGGAATGCTACTTACTGGCTTGCTTCTCTGGTTTGTGTGGTCTACGTAGCCTGCTTTTTTATATAACACAGGCCCACCTGCCCAGGGATGGCACCGCCCACAGTGGGCTGGACCCACCCACATCACTCAACCATCAAGAAAATGCCTCAAAGACACGGCCACAGGCCATTTCCACAGAGGAAATTGCCCAACCGAGGTTCCTTCTTTCCAAGCCTGTCAAGTTGGCAACCAAAGCCAACTGAGAGAGAGAGAGAGAGAGAGAGAGAGAGAGAGAGAGAGAGAGAG